TGCATATTGGACAATGTATAGGTGAGAGGAGTATAGCCTACGTGAGGAAAAAAATCTGTTACATACTGAGAAATATGAGAAATGTTATTTACAACTCTGTTTTCCAATCTGTAATTAATATATGACTTTTTAAAGGTTTTTCTATCCAGTAAAAATCGTTTTTGTTTCCATTAAATAATGTGTTACCCAAGCATACTGAAAGGAAAAAAAAAACATTACTTTCAATGCTACCCAAAATGCTTGGATTCTGGAGGAGTTTAATTTTTTTTTTTGCAAACAGCATGATCATGATCATGAAGGGGTTAACTTGAGTTTTAGTTCCTAGTAAATGTAAAGCAACTTTACTGAAACATGGTGACAATGGCAATTGTATAGTGTACAGCAGAACCCTGACAAGCTCCAGATAAAACAACAAACAAACAATATATCATGCACTTGTGATTTGCCAAACGACCCAAGCAAAGTAAAGTAAAGGCGATTATGTAAGCTCCAATGCACACTTATAACAAGCCGTTTTTGAGGATGATTAACTACTCGCCAATATTTTTTGAGAACCATATCTATGCAGATGCACCCATAAATGTATATTAGGGTTATCCAAAGCCAAAGGAGACCTACAGCTAGAGCAACTTATGATAACCAATTACAACTATTGGAGTTACATTGTGATGCAACAGAGGAACATAGCTAGGATTTGTTCCAATAGAAAGAGGGAACTGCATAAAGTCTTTTTTTGACATTGAAGCATCTAATCATTCCAAAATAGGACAGCAAAATGAAAATATCATGAAGAAACCGTTGCGTGAAGTACCAAAACATCTTAAGTGCTTGATTTTTTATGTTTGATTATGTTTCAGATATATGTGTATCCCATTGCCACAATTATTCAAATTTCAATAGGAGAAACACTGAGAAGGCCTTATCAAGTATGAGTTATGGCAGAAAACCCCTTTGAGCACTAGACTATAAGTATGAACACATAAACACATTTATTCGTCTTAAAGGAATGACTTCTGACTATACAACACATTTAAAGTATAAAGACAAGATAAACAAGGAAATAAAGGGAGGGTACTTAAAAAGTAGGCTCTTAAGACAAGATACTAAAGACAGAGAAGCAGATCTTTTTGAGGTGGTGGCCTCATGAGAAAGAATATGTACTCCTGGATACTTCACCTCTCTGGAGGAGTAGTGATATCAAGGAGGGGCCAAGGGGAAGACATGAGCGGCATGGAAGGGTGGGCCATACCACCATTGGACAACTGCCCCCAGCATGCTGTACTGTGAACATATTTAACAATGGCTGGCTAATGATACCCTAATGATGCTAACGTAGGTGTAATGGACTAGATCTCTGAATGAGTGGCGTTTTTATAGTGAAATGCAGCTTGGCGTAACCCTTTAAATGCATTTTAAATATTTTGCAAATTACATCATAACCCAAGGAAGACACGCCTAAAGGAGGGTAAACATTGATACTGAGGGGGAGAAATATAGACATTATTTTATTTCTCCTCTTCACTGTATGCTCTCGCTATGCTGACTTGCCATGTGTGAAGACAGAGCTGATAATGATCACTGAGGAGGCACCAAGATGCAGGATAAGGAAGTGTGATTTTCTATATTTCATGTTTTTTCTCACTTTACAAATACATATTTGCTAAATGTAAGAATAAGTAAACATAATATTAAAACACCCTGGACGTGATAGTTTCCCTTTAAATGCCTAGTGCTATTCAACAAAGACTAGAGGTTGTTTAAAATATTTGTTCTCGCAATGCAGTAATAAGAAGTTATAATGATTTCCAAATAGCTACCTTGCAAACTGTCACAGTTAGGTGAAAATGGCAGATTTGTACACAGCAGCATGTATCTAAAAAGATATGTATATATGTCTCAAATTCATATATTGGTAAACTCATTAGCTCTTTTGGCTTCCAATATAATTTCTATGCGGATGACACGCAAATCTATCTGTCCTCTCCTGATCTCTCCACGTCCCTCTTGACTAGTCTCTCTGACTGCCTCTCTGCTATTTCTAACTGGATGGCTGCCCACTTCCTTAAACTCAACTTGACCAAAACTGAAACTCTGGTCTTTCCTCCCTCAATTGTTGCTACTCCTGTGTCTGTCTCCCTCCAAGTCAACGGTGCTACCTTCAGCTCCACCACGCAGGCTCACTACCTAGGTGTTCTCTTTGACTTTGACCTCTCCTTCATGCCTCATGTTCAGTCTACCGCCAAATCCTGCTGCTTCCATCTCAAAAACATTGTGCGCCTCCAACCCTACTTAAAGTCAGATGTGACAAAGGTGCTGGTCTATTCCACAGTACTTTCTCGCCTTGACTACTGTAATCCGCTTCTCAGTGGTCTTACGTGCTCCCAACTTGTGCCATTACAGTCCATAATGAATGCGGCGGCCAGGCTCATCTTCCTGTCCACCCACACCGCCCACGCCTCTGTCAGTTTCTACATTGGCTTCCTTGAAGATATAGGGCTCAATTTAAAATTTTGGTTCTTGCTTTCAAATCTCTACATAATGCTGCTCCCACCTATTTATCCTCCCTAATACACAAGTATGTCCCGTCTAGGCCCTTACGCTCTGCTGAAGACTTACGTCTATCTTCTGTGCGTACTCCCACCTCTGATGCTTGCCTTCAAGACTTCTTGAGGGCTGCACTGTTCCTGTGGAACTCACTTCCCTCCTCCATTAGATGCTCACCCAGTCTCCACTCCTTCAAAAAATTGTTACAAATCCACTTCTTCATAAAAGCATATCAATTAAACTGTTAATAGCTCCCAACTGATTCCTCTCTTGCAACTGTCATTAGTGTAATACTATCATTACCTTTTGTGTCACTTTACCCCACTCCTTCTAGCATGTAAGCTCATTGAGCAGAGCCCTCAAACCCTCTGTTCCTGGTTGTCCAACTTGTCTGGTTACAACTACATGTTTGTTCATCCACCCAATGTAAAGCGCTGCGGAATTTGTTGGCGCTATGTAAATAATAACATAATAATAATATATATCAGTTTGGATTCTTTTGATTTATGCTTCTATGAAAGGAACAGAAGTTATGCTTACTTTAAAGGAACACTATAGGGTTAGGAACGCAAACATGTATTCCTGGCCATATAGTGTTAAATCCACCATCTAGTCCCCCTGAGCCCCTCATGTCTCCATAAATATAGCAACATCTTACTTGTATTCAAGCCTGAAGCTGTAGTTTTGCATGCTGTTTGCCTCAGAAAAACAAGCTGTCTGCTGACATAATCAGAAATGGTGGCCTGATCTAATCACAATCCTTCTCCATAGGATTGGCTGAGATTGATAAGGATGCAGATCAGGAGCAGAGCCAGCACAATTCAAAAACAACCCTGGCCAATCAGCATCTCATCATAGAGATTAATTGAATCAATGAATCTTTATGGGGAAAGTTCAGTGTCTGCATGCAGAGGGTGGATACACTGAATGTTTGGATGCATTTTAAGCAGCCATGCCCCAGGAAGGATCTCTAACAGCTATCTGAGGAGTAGTAAGTGAAGTTATCACTAGGCTGTAATGTAAACACTGCATTTTCTCTGAAAAGACAGTGTTTACAGCAAAAAGCCTGAAGGTAATGATTCTACTCACCAGAACAAATTCAATAAGCTGTAGTTGTTCTGGTGACTATAGTGTATGGTAAATTACATATTATCATAATATGCTCTTACTTTATAATTAACATGTCATTCTGAGTGCTCTGACACAAAGTCTACTCGGAGGTAAAATCTCTATGCTCTTCCCTTTAACTTTCTAAAAGTATATCAGAAATAGTTATATTTTTCATGTGGCGAGTGTTTTCAATTCGCAAAATAACTTGTCTTATTTGCTATACCTTTGCTATACCTTCCCTCTTCACTCTTTAATAGTAGAAGATAGATAGATAGATAGATAGATAGGTGACAAAACCCCTATATTGCCTTCCCAGGAGCTGTTCTCCTCTTCAGTTTGGGAACCCATTCTAAACTTTGTTTTATGCCTTCCTCACATTTGCGATTATAAAGTACCGAACACCGAACAACTTCTGGTTCATTAAGTACAAAGAAAACCGCAAGAATTAAGTGATCTCCCTGTGTGGCCGTTGTTCTTATAACCGAACGCCACATGGTGGAGAAAACAGTGGCCATCTTGTCACACGAAAGCAAGCAGCGGGACTTGGTCATCGAGTGTCCTTCTTGGAGTTCCAGAAACTCGACGACCAAGTGCTGTTGCCTGCTTTCACCGGTGAAACTACGCAAATACCTGCTTCCTTTCGCAGCAAGCCAGGAGAGCACTGTTCGGTAGGTTTGTGCGTATGGACCTCACAAACAAATGCTGCCAATGAGCCAGGGGAACCGTTCTCCTTTTTCATACGTATTGGAACTCCTGACCGACCGCTACCTCTAAAACTATGGAACTATTTTTGGGCAGACGCCTCATGAGCGGTCGGTCAAAACGTCTCCCCAGTGGCGATTCGGCTGTATTTGTGGGATCTGAGCGCTATTTGGACAACTTGGGCACTCAGATCCAGGCTATCTGGGGATATATAAACTATGGGGGTTCCTTTATGTGAAATATGGTTTCTATGATTTGTCATTTTATGCTTATTCATGGTGACATGACATTTTGGGGACATTTTGTGGGTGTGTTAATGAGAGTGTCATGGGCGTGTTTACTTGTATTGTATAAAAGCAGGCCATTGAGCCTGGATTAGACTTACCCCTTTTTAAGTCTAGGCTAATGTTTAGAGGATTGGGAGCCAAATTCACTACTATAATAACTACTGCGCTTGGGACTTGGGAGATTCTTCACGAATATACTCAGCTGGAGTATTGGGATTCATTACAGATAGATAGATAAACGCAAGGGAATCAGATTAGGACTTGCAGAGAAGTCATGTTGCGTTTGAGATTCTACGTTGCATGTTTCTTCAAATATCAGAAGGCAACGCTGACGGATTTTCAAGGAAACATAAGTAAGGTTGGCTATTACACACCAGGAAAGTCCTCCTACCTTCGTCCCCCTTCCAAAAACATCTCGTCATCATCTAGCTTCTTTGATAGCTGCGTAGACAATAAAATAAATCCCCCAATCTTTGTGATTTTTTAGAAGTATCGGATATATCTAGAACACCTTATCAAATATTCAGATGAACCCAGGAACTTACACAGTCTGTTAAGTGCCCTAGACAAATATAGAATTTGAGTCACAATGTTTAAAATGCTTTATGACCAAGTACGCTCCTTTAAGTTTCTTTTTTTTTCTTTTTCACTTAGAATTTTATTCATTTTTTTTAAAATTCAATAAAAGGGAAAGAGAGGGGGTTGAGTTAACATGCATTCACTTTTTTAAACATATCATGTAAATCACCTCAATACAGTGTTCAAATTAGAATAATGTCTATTTGTTATTTGTCTTAAGGTTTAACGTATTATTTTATATTCAGTATATTTATTTTATTGCACTACTATCTAGTTCTAATACTGAATATATTTAAATCATAAATCCATTTGGGTCCCAAGTAGGAAAAGGGGGAAATAAATAAATAAATAAAAGGGGGAAGAAAGAAGGGAAAGACGAGTTTGATTATTGGTTAGTTTGATTTTAATTTAGATCTAATATCTTTTCACTTTTCACATTTAATAATTAATAAGGAGGTTATTGAAAATAAGTCTGCCACTTATCAGCTACTTTAGGGCTCAATTTTCCTATTTTTGTCTGATTCCACATGATAAATTCATAGTCCACTGTAGTGGTCATTATTTTTTTTATTTCTTGTAAAGATGGCAAGTTTGAAGATTTCCAATTTCTGGCTATTAGTGTTGCTGTTGTTGATAAGAGAAGAAATTAAATTTTCCGTGAGACTTTGTCTATATTTCCTGGTATGGCTTTAAGGAGTATCATTTTTGATGTGTGTTCAATCTTATAAGATGTAACTTCCTGAGCTACTATTGCTATATCTTTCCAGAGAGTATTTACCTTCTCACATGACCACCACATGTGCAACATGGTACCTTTATGTAAATGGCACCACCAGCATATGTCTTCTGTTTCCGGGTAAATTGATCTAACACGGGTTGGTACCCTATACCATCTGTATAGTATCTTTCGGGATGTTTCAAAATGTGCAGCGCATGAAGAGAGTCCTTCATGTGCTATAAAACTTTTCCTCCATTCTTCTTGCGATATCGTTTCTTGACTATCCGTTTGCCAGTCTGTCATAAATTTCCATGTAGTAGTTTCTTGTAAATTATTAAGGTTATCAGAACAAGTCGATAATGTTTTCTTTGGTGGGGATATTGCTGCACACATTTGTTCAAATTTTGTAATAGAGGAACATAAAGTTTGTTGGATTGAACTTGTTTTATTGTTGGTCATTAGTGATGTACCGAACGGTTCGCCGGCGAACGGTTCCTGGCGAACATAGCATGTTCGCGTTCGCCACGGCGGGCGAACATATGCGCGGTTCGACCCGCCCCCTATTCGTCATCATTGAGTAAACTTTGACCCTGTACCTCACAGTCAGCAGACACATTCCAGCCAATTAGCAGCACAGCCTCCCTAGCAGACCCTCCCACCTACTGGACAGCATCCATTTTAGATTCATTCTCAAGCTGCATGCTTAGTAAGAGGAGGGAAAGTGTAGCTGCTGTTCATAAGATAGGGAAAAGCATAGCTAGGTTAGGGATAAGGGTATGCTTTTTTTTATTTTTTTTTTCTATGTAATGTAAATGCACTTAGTTGTCTGCCACTGCTGCCAGCTTCTGTGTCAGGCTCACAGTGCCCATTTCCCCAGTCAGTGCTACCAATTACATCTGGTGTCACAATAGCTTGGATTTAAAAACAAAAAACTTTTTTCACTGTTATAGATTGAATAGCAGTCAGT